GTAATTACGCCCTGGACAGATGGATGTTTTATCAGTATGATTACTGAACGTATCGACCCAGTTGATGCAGTCTAATCATTGCCAGGTGTGTTTGTGAGGATTTTTTAACTTCCGCTCTGAACCAGACGACAAACACATTGTGAGGTTTTGTTTAATTATTGCTAGGTCATTTTTTTCCCATTTCTCTTTCATCTTCAGAGTGGCAATGTATTTGCAGAAAATTGGTATATTAAAAGACAATCTAACAAAAAAATATTATTTGTGTCTTTTTTTTAAAAAAAAAGCTACGCTAGTTTAAATATTTAGGTTTTTGACCCTGCTTTAAAAAACAAAAACGACAACTTTAAAAATGCACTTTAAAACGTACCGGTATCCAACTCCGCGACAGACACCTGTCTGCACTCTGATCTTCCTATTATGAAGTCTAAAGTCTGATGACTTTTGTCCAGTAAAATACTTAATATAGAGAAGCAAACATCACATAGGTGGCTATTGCCTCGATCCACCACTAGTGGTGTGGGGATTGCAGAAATAAAAATGTGTAGCGTCTCAGAAACCGCGCTGCTGTCAACTCCAAGGTGGCATGGGCAGGATCTATGCCCAAAATAATGTCATCAAAGGGTAACTCCAACCATCATGTCCACGTCAGTGATTTGAAGTGGTCATGGTGGTTTGAGTCAGCGTGAGCAGTGTTTAAACAAGAAAAAATGCACAAACCGAGATATTATGTGTGTGATGGCAGCTAGTTGCACCCCCTGCGCACGTGACATTGGTAGCCCAGAATTCCGTTCCGGGCTGGCAATGTCTACTCTGTGCATAAAATATGTCTGTCGTCAGTGTGCACTGCATGCTGCCAACAAATTTGAAAATCTCACACTTGCAGGCAGAGCGCCTTTTAGGGGAAGCTAGCTCCCACTTCCCTCCATTTCCACATTGGTTTTTTGTTTTCTTTTTAACTCTCCCTCCTCTCCATTCCCTCCCATCTCTGGCCTGGAGCACGCTTATGCGCTCTGAGCCGACAAAAGGTACCAATGTCAGGTTTCTCTATGAAATGCAGCCCCAATAATGTCACAGGCGGCATGGAAGATGAGAGCAAGGAGCTTTGCTCAGCATTGGATTGCAGGTAAATAAAACCTTTTTTTATTGTGCAGATTTTAATGCAAATCGAGAGGGGCGCCTTTTCCATAGTACCCAATATGGCATATTGCACTGGAAAGGTCCCCTCTTTCAAAAGGGTTATAGTAACCCTTTAAATTATGTGATTTTGGTGCTTAGACTGCCCCTTTTTTGGACAGTCCAGGTACCTTACAAATGCAGTTTATTGTAGTAGTTATAATGCAAGGAGGCTATGGGGAGGGGGTCACTACAATTTGGGGGTGCCAAATGGGTTAACAGTGATTCGACACAGCGGAACCCTGCTTACCCATTCAAATATTTTGGTAAAACAATGAGACTTCCTCATTATCGAGTCTCACGTTTGTTACTTTTCAGTCTTTTTCATTAAAGCAATCCAGAAATCACGCCGAATTGCAAATTATTGTTCCTTTTGAAGTTGAAAAATATTCCAAATATTTTTACTTCTAATCTTTTTTGGCATAATTTTTGCCATTACTTTATCAATTCTCTGCAAAAATAATTATTTCAATTATTTGCAGATCTGGAAACAAAAGAACTATATTGTAACGTGTTCGATGTAATACCCTAAAGCAGAATGGTAATTTTCACTAAGACAGTCCTGTCGAAGCGGACAGCTGTTTGGTATATCAGCAAATTCTTATTGGGTTTCTGAAAC